GTACCGTCAGGGGAGAGGACTTTGACTGACTTGTCACCCCGGTCAGACACCACCATGTGGTCATCACAAGTAATAGTTAATTTGAATGGATCTTTAAGGTGTTTGTTGATTATACTGTTGAGAAACTGACCATTTTCGTTGAAGCAATGCATAGCGCTCGAAGCAATGATAATGAGGTTACCAGTATTGGTGAATGCAACTTAAGTGGGATTGCTTAGTTTCTTAGCAGATGGGCCTTTCTGACCAAACGCCGATATATAATCTAACCATGGGTCAAAAAGTTGTATTCTGTTATTCTCTCGATCAACCACTGCAATTGTCCCTGTCTTCTTGTTTATTGCAACATCACAGGGTTCTTTAAATTGTCCTTGAGCTTTCCCACGTTTCCCCCGACGATCTCTCCATGTGTACTGATGTGGACGTACTTGGACACTCCAGGGACTTCTAGGCAGCGGTTGATCATTAACTTCGATCATCACTTCATGACGTCCATCACAATTTGGAGTATAGGTGACCCGATGTTTACCGTCTGCAACGTGTTTAACCCAGTAATCCAGACCCTCTCCGGATGGAGTCTGAACTTTTACTGTTATCTGGTCGATTTCATAATAACACCGTTTCCCATCTGAGTCGTTTGTTACGATTGTAAATTTAGAGTTCTTTCCAGCTTCCGCTTCTTTCAGACCTCTCCCTCCCGCAAGTGACCGCAAAGGATTCGTGTCACTGACATCAACTTGACCAGGAACACCACTTCTCACATTCTGAACATAATCTTCGTTGATCTTGTAATAAACATGCGATGGTTTATAAATGTCCATTTTTGTTGCCTTTATTAAGCCTTTACTCCTTTCAATGACATCCTGTTGGGCCTGCAGAATTTCAAAACTGCTGTTTCTCTGTAAGATTACCTCGCAATGCTCCACGGATGTTTTAAATTGTGTGACACACGTCTGAAAATGTTCCAACTGCGTTGCGTGATCTCTTTGATCAGCTTCATCAAGAACATCTAACTTAGTCACCATGGCAGCCTCGTGCTCTCTTAAGACTCGAACGAGTTCTTCGACAGTTGTCTGTACATTGTTACGCGCTGCGGCAATCTTTTCTCTGCTTTTTCTCCACAATTCTGTTGTTTTTTCCATTTGGATCTCATAATCAGCCATATCTACCTTCATTTCCTGTAAAACTTCCATTATCTTTGGTTTCTGCTCGTGGGCGGCTTGCTGGATATCCACCTTGGTGTGACGAGTATGACGTGTTTGTCCACACTTGCCACAAATACAAACTTTGCATTCTTGACAGTAATAATTGAGAGGCTCATCCTCGTGATGTTGCTCTCTACACATATTCGAGAGATCCACTTGCTTCAGGGTTTTACCTGATCAAGAAAAAGTATAAAGTAAAGAACGTTACTGAGCTGGGGATGTTTACAGTCAAACCTATATTAAACGGACCCCATATTAAGCGGACACCGTCTATTAAGCGGACAGCGGTGCAAGTCCCATTTTTTCTTTTCCTACATTCACTGTCAAATATACCTGTATTCAACGGTCACCTCTATTAAGTGGACGCGGAGAGCTTAAACTTGACTTTTATGGTCATTTCTGTTGTTATAAACCTGTATCAAACTGACACTGCAAAAAGGATGCATGTTTTTTTTGTCCACGTTTTAACAGATCGATCATTTAAGTTTGCCGACAAAGAGCTGTTACAGAAATGCGATATTTTATTATTCGGTTTGTTTTTCCAGCACTTTTGTCCTTTGATTTTGTGAACCTTCACATAATTCTATCAATGTAGATACTGTTGCTGTATACTTTAATCACTTTACCTCATATACTTGTCATTGTTTATGGAAATAAGGTATTTCCCCAGGGAGGGGGGGGGGGTTACTCCCTAATATGGGCTATATAGGTATGTGCGGCCCCAAAGGGTATGGTTTTTCAGCCGTCTCGGTCATAAATAGGGTATCGATTTTAGCTGATTTTGGCCATTTTGGTCATAAATAGGGTATGGTTTTTAGACTCTAGTCTTGATATAGGTATGCCTTTAAGAAGAAGCCACTTTTTCATCATTATCGAAAAGAAAATCAACAAAAGCCCTTCACAACTTATGTTTACGGTAATTTAACATTGGTCTGAACTAGGGAACTAATTTTAACGCAGGTCTGAAACAGGGTTTTGATTTTAGGGTCAGGTCATAAATAGGGTTTCGAATTTTTGGATAGGTCATAAATAGGTTAGGGAATATCGCAGATTTTGGTCATTAATAGGGTAAGGGTTTTGGGAAGCGGGCCGCACACCCCCACCCAATTTTTTTGGGAGTACCCCCCTCCGGGGGTATTTCAGAGTTATCGACCGTTCACGAGAATGCCATTTGATCCTTTCAAGGTCTTTTAATACTGACGGATATTAATGACCCTTAAAAGACGAATTCTGATTGAACCTGCTTTCAACGGACACCCTGTATTAAGCGGAAACTAGCAAGGGTCTAGAGGGTGTCCGCCTAATACAGGTTTGACTGTAAGTGTCACTGCCAAGGCCTGACAGTTCTTAGCCTCCCACGCAGATGCTCTAAGGGCTCGTCACGCGTCCTTCCCCGACGAACCTCTGCTGAACGGACCGGTCACTTCCGTTCACTGGCGGTTAGACTTGGTTTTGAAAGAACCAATCCGCTGTTATCTGCATTATACTTCACAGAGTTTGACACCTCTGTCGTTTGCCATCTGCTTACGCATTGTTTAGGCTCATTTCTATTGCAAGATATGTTTTTAAGTTTCTAAATATTTGCTTTCGAAGGGCAAAATATGAAATTTTCCGTGACATGTTGCTTACTTGCATCCTATATCGTGACGCCGGGCCCGGCTGCAGTTTGGTTAGAACTGTTTGAAAGTACAAACAGTATGTTGCTTATCACGGACATCACATTTATCATATTTATCAGCAGTTCGTATAGTGTGATCGTCTGGGTGAGGGTAGTTCTGAAAAGAACTGTTGTTGGTGACTGACGTTTCCACAAACTGAGCGAAAGTCGTCTTCAGAGTCAAGTGAATAGTGTTTGTCAGTTGATGAAACTGCACAAATTAAACCTGGTATACCGATGCGACCTATAGTGTCATTCTGTGGGTCCCCTACGTATCAACTGTCTAAGTACTTGACGACCATACTGCAACCCCTAACTGACAAATCAAGACGCAAACTACAATCTACGGATAACTTTATTGACGCTATTAAGACAGTAAAGATACTTGACGACTACAAACTTGTGTCTTTTGATGTGAAATCACCGTTCACCAGTATTCCACTTCAACTGGCAATACAGTGTACCGAGACCGCTATACAACAATCTACTGTTAAACTACCGTTACCGACAGAAGACATCATGGACTTACTGAGCCTTTGCC